CATCCACGGCCTTAAGTCGTCAGCGTAAAACAAGCGAGCTGGCTGTATTTCCGACGGGTAATTGATGACTCGCTTGAAAAGCTCTGGGCCGTGAACGGAGCTTTGCGAGACCTACCTAGTTATGAGCACAGGAGCGGATTAAGTCTCGTTCGCGTTGGTTCGCCTGGGCTGGTAAGCCGGGAAATTGGCAGTGCAAAAGAGAACGTTTCCAGAAATACCGCTATCACGTAGTATACAAAGGAGGCATTCACGAGGAACCTTGTCAAATACCTTGCCGAAGTTGACGAAAACTACATCCAAGTCTTTTCTGGCGTCCAATGCTTTTGCCCATCTTCCTCTGGAAACCAGCATATTCGAGTAACCTAAGCGTGCACGCCAACAACCATGCTGCTCACAAGGGATGCTGTTTAGGTTGCTGAGGTGAAAACGAAGTGCCCGCTTGAGATTCCTCTCCAGTACCTTGCACAACGTGGACGGTAAGCTGTTGGGTCGATAAGTGGCAGGAATTTGCTTTGCCGTCTGTGTGTAGGTTCCACTATCTCCACTTTCTAAGTGATCGGGAGCCGTTTAGTTCCAAGGGAATGACGAACTACCCGACCAACAGGTACGGAAATGTAATCCGCCACAGTTCTGCGGACCTCGGATGCAACCCATTGGAAGCCGACGAAGAGTTCGGATCTAAGGCAAGAATGCCTTTGGCGACGACATCTGCGCTCGTCTCTAGGTGCTCCGAAGGAGATGGGTTTATCGGCACTGTGTCACCGGGAACAGCGTCTCCATCGAGTACATCGATGAACATTGCTTGGCCAGGAGACTGGCTTTCGCAAGTCATCAGCAAGTAGACCGACATGAGCCAAGAAATACAGGACAGTAATGCCACTGTCTGCTCTGATTCTTCTCTTCAGGTAAGAGAAGGGTGTCTTCGGAATCGTCATGCATTGCACAGCCTAAACTAGCTCGTACTGATGCCCCTTCTCACGTTTTCTTTACTTGTCTATATTCCCGGACAATTTGCAGTCCGAATAGTCAGAGCCGGGTTGCTTGAGTTTGAATCAGTCCCATAAGTTACGTCTTTTGTTCATTATGCCTCTCAGCGGTCGATTAACCTAAGGAGGGCCTCTGGAAAAGCTCTGTTTTGTAGACAAACACTACCTGCTCAACCACTGAAATGCGTTTGGTCTACAACTGGTTCCACCCATCGTCCAGGTCCAGGGGTTCTGGTATAGGCCAGTCCACTGCCTTGGCAGGCGGTTGTAGATGGTATGAATCAGCACCTCGGAAATTTCCAAGGAAGCTAGCTTGGTTGTAGTGAGTAACACTACGAGCCCGAAGAAACTGAACCACGCAGTAATCAACTTTATCGGTGGACTGAATAACGGCTATATAGGTGACATGTGATTGTGCCTGGGCGAGTACAAGGTCAAAAACGTGTCGAGTTTGTCCTATATTTACACGAGTAGTCATTATGACATGTTGGGATAAGTAATTTTCGAGAATCCCCTCTTAAAGATCGAAACCAAACACATTTGAAGAGGGACCGACGCTATAAGTCCCAGACAAGACCCTGGGTATTGAACGCCCCCAGTAATGTGCAGTCCTTTCCCCAACATGCATTTTGCTCGTGTCCAGCAGTCAAGCTTCGGAACTAAGTGGGGCCATGTAGACAACACCGACATGAGAGAGCTGCATCTGTATTGAACACGGCACCAGTTCCGAAGTCAAGGTCGTCGCCAAAGGTAGCTTCAACCGGCTACGCTTTGAAGTCCGTCCTCCAGTACAGTACACATCGCCCAAGAGCATCCTCCATGGCGGTCGGCCCGACAGTGGTAATTTTCAGAAATGTGCAACTTCGAGTCCGGGATATTCAAGGAAAACCAGGTCTCGCTGGAAGCTATGCGATCCAGCCGATTCACGGAGGCAAGTAGCTGAATTTCGTATAAGTTGTTTCGGAGACTGCGCACGTTGGAAGCAATTACGCGTAGTCCGTCTTTCAACTCTAACGTCTGAATGAGACAAGGTGGGGTCACCAGAGCGTACTTCGCGTTTTTCGAAGTACGCGAAGATCCACGATATGTAGGTCTGTCACACGGTTGTCACGACGGAATCTGAGGTCCTTAACCGCCTTCATTTTTACTCTATTCTGCGGAGAGCGGGCTAGCGATAAGTAAAGCGTTTCACCTTTAAGCGACGCGGTGATCCTCGGGGAAGGCGACGACCTTTACCACCGCTATGCCGTACCATCTTCGAGGGACGGAGCTTAGAGGACCCCATCTCTTTTCCGCGAAGGCGGAAAGCGGTGATGATATTGCTTCCTGGCTCACCTTCGCGGAACAGTAAGAAGACCATCCGTTTATGAAACGTCTGACCATCCACAATCCTTTCAACTGCAGTGGTATTGGACATCCCAGAAGCAGTTATGATGAGTACGTAAAGGTCACGAAAGGATGCTTTGTCTTTAACGGTGAGCTGCAGCTTGTGGGGAGAAAGCAGCTTTTCAGCTGCCCCACGCTAAGAACAACCCGATTCAACTGCGCTGGAGAAGAAACCGGTTAGGGTTTCACTTTGACACTTTTCTCGCCTTGACCTCAGCCACTCTTACTGGCGATGGCAGTAACAGACGTTCCTTCGCTACAGATCCATACGTCTTGCTATTTGAGGCTGTACAGTGGTCAACAGCTGTCAGCGCGCAGAAAGTTGGAAGCGTTGCGCCCGACATCGCATACCGTTGGGCGTAACCGGGCCAGAAGCAGATGACGAGACGCATGGGGATGTACAGAATGCCGTAACTATACTTGCCTCAGTTTGAACCGAAGAAAAACGTGTGTTGAGTGCAGGCAGCCAATCAAGCGTGGCAGTGTAGGAAGCTGCTTCCTTGGCTGGTGTCGGACAGGTCAGGAGAGACTTATGGTTGGGACCTGCACAGCAGTCTGCTTGTTTTGAATAGATTGCTGATATGAGGGACGTGGACTGCTTGGCGGTAGGCCATTCGAAACGCCCCTAACCCTCAGTCAAGCCCGATCTGGGTCACAAATTAAACAACCACTGAGGAAGTGGTCCTCTGCAGGGTATAGTACAGATATGGAACGAGGTTAGAACGTGCAATATGCAGTTACCCTCTCGCATTGAACAGCCTTCGAGCGAGCAGTGACAACTTTACAACAACCCAAGTATTTAGGGGTCATTGTAGCTTTTATTAAGTAACAGCATAATGGACCATAAAGAAGGTAGCGAAAAGCAACCAAGTTCGCTATCAGCCAGCAACTTGAAATACCGCATTTTGACCGGAGACATATTTCAAGATTGCTATGTATAGTTTAGCTGTCCTGTTTAAATCGCTTTTACAGATTCCTTCCCTTTCTAAACTCTCCTGCTCCGAAATATGAACACAATATCCACGGGCCAGTACCTAGCTAGCACCTTGTCCCCTACAAAAATATGTTTATCTCTCATGCTTAAATTTCACTTTTCACTGCGAACAATATCACCTGTGAGATTTTTTGAGCAGGCTTGCCGACGCCATTCTCGATAGTCTCGAGAATAACCTTCATTCGTCCTTTAGACCATAGGGGACCACACAACTTACAACATCTGTAATACTTCTGTATTTGGACTCGCTATTTATGCTACAGGTACAAGACTACATTCCGCTTATCCTCCTCAAAAGGTGGGTCTCGCTTCGTCGTCAGCTATTGTGATTTATCTATCAATTATTAGTTACGGAAAACCATCTAGGTAGCGCTTCCTAGGGGAAGTTTCGGCAATTTCGGCACGGATGCAAAATCGAACACTATTGATGTTAATTGAATCGTCCTGACCAGACGTGTACACCCAAAGTTTATTCGACTGGATGCCAGATTCGAGCGTTTTGTGTAGAGGTGACACGTTGTTTCATTTTGCTAGAGTAGCTGGGCAATGTGGGTTGGAACCGTGCTGTACCTCCACTACATTCACAGTGTTGGTCTCTCCTGTTTCGCGGAGGGCTCAATGCCTATCTAAACCGTCCTCCTCCTACTTGTAGTGATTCAGACAAAAAGAATTTGTACCTGGTTTTGAGCAGAGGTAAATACACAAGTAGAGGCCAGTTTGCAAAACAATCGGTAGCTGGAGCAAGGGACACAGCAGCCAACATCTCGGGCAGATGTTCAAACCCAGCCTGGGAAATTGGCAAAGTATTTCTGCTCATAGACTGTCATTGATGACGAATGCGTGTCGTAATGAGTATGACTATTTTTACGTTAATATAAGTAAGAGGATATCGCCATTCCTGGTTATCCTGCTTGGCGGTAGTTGTAGCCTTAGCTGGGCCGGCGCTTAAAGCCTTCAACGCAACTGAAAGTTAAGCACTCGTTTGTCGACAGCAATTCCAAATATTTAGAGCAGGAAACGGTGCAAGACTTGTGATACCAGCCGTTGTATAAATAGCACAAATGCCAATAAATTCATACTTATGGGGGCATTAGGCAGCCGGTGGTGCCACAGCCATCAGTATGTTTGCTGGCAACTGCATTAGAAAAAGCACTGGGGAAAAATTGTATGACTGACAGCGATTTTAGGTGCGATGTAAAAATAATAATCCAACAGCGGCAAAGGTTGATATCGATTGGGTGTGCTTAACCGAATCGGTTACGTGTTACCAAGGTGTAAAAATAAATAAACTAGTACACATTTACAGAAAAGTAGATGGATGTCGACTGCGGATGTTTGATGAATGCACTGACAGGCGTACGACGTAGCGGAGGAACACAGTGATGAAAAATCCTTTGCGTTGTACGTTGCTTTCAAGTCAGCTTTAACACTGCGTTATTGCAAACACGGTTTCTAAGCGCTCATTTGAAAGTACTACCACAGGCAGCCGCACGTTCAAACTTAACAGGCTGCGGCCGGAGCGAAAAGCGAAGTACAAACTGCATTAAAACTAGCTAACCGCACTAGCATTAGTTAAAGGGATAACGGTGCAAATTTAATTGATGCATTTAAATTGTTTTACTGCTCCCGTTTGACAAGCTTTTACAACCCATTTCAAACTAAATTTCGCGAGTCCTCTTTCTTCAGCATGGGTGTGAAGTGGGTATGTTTCGATTTCTTTGAGTTACTCAGTCAAGTACCAAATTCGAGTAACGACGCCGGAATCTGTCCTTGAATTTAAAATCAAGCCGAATTCTACCGGACGTCAGCTTTTCAACCAGGTAACCGTTCTATTCTGTTCGTTTCTACTTCGTAGGTATGTACTACCATAGGACTGCGCGAGGTGTGGTATTTCGGCTTACAATATACTGACTCGAAAGGATTGGTCAAATGGGTGAAATTAAACAAAAAAATATCTTGCAAATCCAAAGAAGCACGTTTGGATTACACCTTTAAAGTGAAGTTTTATCCTGAGGAAGTTTCGGAAGAGCTGATACAGGAAGTGACGCAGCGGTTGTTTTACTTCGAGGTACCGAGGATTATTCTGATTGGCTTCCTAGGTGAAAAGCCATATCATATCTGGCGAAATCTACACATCAGCCGACTGTGCGCTGCTACTAGCTTCATTTCAAGCCTTGATTCGCCATGGGAAGTATGACCCGAAAGTCCACACTAGGGGATACCTGAATATCCCTAACTACATTCCAGATCAGTAAGTTTTTACACCATTCCGGCTGTTCACCTTCAACCCATACTATACAGTATTCGTACCATCTGCTCGCACCTGTTTCATCTTCATAGGTTTGACGACTCAGCGCTCTTGTTTACCTCGCCATACTTGTCTGATTAGTATAGTCTAATGGCAACGTGGCTTGTCAGTTTTTCGATGACTGTTTCGTGTACGTGATTTCAGTGGGATCTTGCTGTCCATGCACTCTCCGATGCAGCAGTTTTATAGAAACAAAGAATCACCAAATTCCGACGTAATGCTAATGCTTATGTTCCGGTCCCACTTGAACTTATGCTGTTAGCCTCTTGATAAGTGGACTATCGGGGTCGGCGCGACATTTTCTGGAACTTAATACGTGATATTCGCACGTTCCATCATCGCCTCTAGTTGGTCTTGATTTTCCGAGCATTTTCTCGAATATTCGCATTTCTGTCAGCCACCTAACTCGCTCCTGTTGACCCTATTGTGCCTTGCAACGTGGTTTGATTCATTCTCTGATGGTACTTACTACTTGAACGTTCGTTACAAATCACCTTTAACGTGTATTTTTTATTGCTCGACTTCAATTGGGCTAGAAAAGTAGGAAATTCCTGGTTATTTTCCTTCGTGTAAGCGCTGTTCAGCTACGGCATTTATCGGTGGCATTCTTGAAAAGCGAAAGTAACATTATGATCAACCAATTAATGCCCACGTGACCTGCACTGCCAGACCCAGCTACGCCGGCCAATTAAAGTAGGAGAGAAAATACGAAGCAACAGAAAGGCAGAAACAATCGAAGTAGAAAGGTAATAATAGTAATAATATTTGAGGTTAAAATTTAAGCTGTGGGCAGGATTGGAACTGCTGCCCTAGGGCATCGAGTTTCTGCTCAAACTCCGCTGTCATCTCGCAATGCATTCCAGGAACAAGCTACTTTACGTAACAGTCGAACGTTGGTGCAAGCCCCATGGGATTGTTGTTTCATGCAACTTTATCGAATGACCACGGAGAGATGGTAGCAGGATTGGCTCAAAAATCCGAGACAAATCAGGGCCCATCTCCTTCGAAATACGCTAAGTCAGAACCGATTCGCCACGATGTGGGCGATAGTGCAGCGAAAGCGTTCCGAACTTAAGGTGCTGTAGTCCAACCATTGTGCCACTCCTAAGGACCCGCTCAACTGACATCCCATCATGAACCGAGCACGGTGGACAACAACAATCATCAACAACAGCAATACATCGGCCATTTGAACTGATGCTTCGCTGCCATACAACCATGAGGATTTATGAAATAAGGAATAACAAGAAGGAGAGAAGAGGGACTTACCTGACTGCTCTAAGCAAACATTCACGGTCAAGGCGCCTACACCTTGTGTAGACAACATACCGTCACAAACAGCTGGCTATGATGCAAAGATAAGGCGGCATCGGCGAGACAGCTTCCTTGCGGCTTTCACTGCCACTCGTCATAATCAGCCATTACCCCGCAGATAACTCAGCACCAAACACACTTTAAACAGGCACTCCAATTAGGCGACGGCAGCGGACGCGCCACTGGTGTCGGTTGCTAGCCATGTCCTGTAAAGTCTCGAGCTAAGCACAAGGCGAGTCATGTGGACTCCAGCCCGGAAGCCGAGGCGGACCAACTGCACGCAGTTTAGTCGTTAGTGGACATGTTTAGACGCAATATTCTAGGTGCGGCTTAACGAAATCCGGGAAGTTTGGTGAACATCTCCGGTGTGATTATTTCCAACGATCTGCGATCATCCACAGCATTCTGAAATCCGCCGGCGGCTTTCTTCCACTGCTCGCCTTACTTGAAATCGGATGAAAGAACAACACCCAGATCAACCGGCTGCGGCATCTTAGGCACCTCACTCTTACTAGTGTGTGCTTCTCACTTATTACTCCTTTGCCATCTCAGCGTATATGCATCACTTGCTTATTGAATAAAACCTGATTTCTCGGACTCATAGTCATCCCACTCTTCGTATTTCTCCTCATTCAATTCCATTACAATTTACTCAGCAAGCTATAAATCTAATCCTCCAGCCAGAACATTTTGATGCCAATCCCAGCAACCCGAACACGGCGAAACATTGGATCCATTGGTTCGATGGGTTTATTTATATTTTGGACAACGTTGACTCATTGCCGTTCAGTAAGTTGAAGCTTTTGGCGAACTACGTGTCTCCTGATGTATACGACTGCATTAAAGAATACACAGCCTATGAACCCGCCATCGAAACTCAGATCTATACACATCAAACCGCAAATCAAAATTTGCACATTATATCCTAGCTATTACCAACCAAAAAGTGGACGAGACACTGGACAACTTCATGCAGCAGTTGAAATCACTGGCCCAGAGTTATACCCTCAAAAAGGTCACGTCGGAAGAACCGCGAAGACACTATTCGAAATGCATACCTAACTGTGCTTCGGTCACAAGTTGTGAGTCAACGTTTTTTGGTCAATGTATCGCTCGATTTGCACCGCTTTTGAACAAGCACGATCGCTCGAGACTGCTTATTGTCAGTCATAGTAAACCATTCAGAAAACGCTTGTGGCGCATTCTGAACGGTTGCAAGCGTCAAGTGCCCCAGTAGTCTAAGGTCCTAATGTTGCCGCTGCCGTACGAAATAGCGAGTGCTTCTTCTGAGGATTGAACAGACACAGCCCATCTCAATGTCCTGCGCACGACGCTACTTGCAACGGTTGTGAAAAGGAATGACAGTACCGGAAAGTTTGTCGTTCCTCATCCAAAAATACTGCCTCGGTGCTCCATAGTTATCTCACCTCCATCACGGTCGCAACGGCGCCAAACGATCTCTCACTCCATCATCTATGTGCTCAACATTCCTCTAAAAGCTTTGATTGATACTGGAATCACTGACAGCTACATTGTCGCGGTTCAACTCGAATATCTTTAGTCTCATTGTAAAATTTCACTGACTTGCACTCACTTAACGTGTTTCACCAATAGCCTTTGTCTTGTCAATGTGCAGTATAAAGACGGGTCTTAAATGTCCGTACTTCCAAACCTTTGTTCAGACTTACTCTTGAGACACGATTTTCTTAGACGTCACTATTTTGTTCAAATTCCATTCTTTGATGAACAACCCCACTTTCTGTGTGAATTACTGACGGCCACTGTGGATCCTTCCTCTCTTTGTAAACGATGCCTCCACCTACAAACCGATCGCCACAAAATTAAGGCGTCACACTACTGTGAGCGAGAGATTTATTTGTGTGGAAATGCAAAAGCTTCTCAAAGACAATACTCGAACCATCGTTATCCCCGTGGCGAACTCAAATTTTAGTGACTACGTAGGAAACACAAACGTTGTATGGTTGTAGATTACAGCCAAACCATCAACCAGTACGCTCATCTAGATGCGTATTCTCTATCTGAAATTGATGCCCTTATCGATAAGATTTCTCCTTACTCGGTATACGGCACTTTAGACCTAAAGTGTGCATAGCATCAAATATCCATTAAATCAAACGAAAGGAAGTTCACCGTATCTGAAACCTGTGGAAGTCACTGCCAGTTCTGTCGTATACCTTATTGGTGTAACCGGTGGAGTCGTCTGTTTTCAGAGGGTCATCGACAAAGTTATAACCGACGCGAATTTGAGCGCGACATTCCCTTACATCGAAAACATAAGTGTGCAGTGCAACCCTGGTGCGTAACCGCTATCTAACAAAGCTTTACGAAATCGCTCGAAAACACAACCTAACATTCAATGAAAGCAAAAGCGTCATAAGTTCGAGAAAATACGACTACTGGGGTACAAAGATTCACACGAGGTTATTTGACCGGACCCAGACCGACTTCAGCCTCTGAGATGCCTGCCCGCATCCACTGAACTAAAATCTCAACAGCGTGTTGTGGCACCTTTTGCATATTATTTCCCATGGATTTCACGTTTTTCTGACAAAATCTGTCCGCTGCTTCCCCCTCCCCATTCTGGTTTTGAGGGCTTTCGAAAAGATCAAGGAAGAAATAGAACCTGGTTGTCTCTGTTTATGATTCCATACCCTTAGTAATCGAGACGGATGCATCTGAGACTGCTATATCTGACACAGAACAAACGAATAGTTGCTTTCTTCATACGAACGCTGTCCGCCAACGAACGACGCCATTCAGCCATCGAGAATGAGGCATATGCTATTGTGGAGTAATTCCGCAAATGGTTGGCGGCATCCGGTTTCGGATTTGCCTGTCACTGTGGCAAGCCACAGGACGCCTGCGCCTACAGAGGGACCATGGATGGCTTGCGCTGCACCACCCACAGCTCTAACCACATACCCCATATCCAGTGTAAACCCGAAGGAATAAGACCGGGAGGCATGCGGATGGGAACCACGTTTCATCAACGGAGCCGGCCCACACTCCTTCACAGGCAAACACAAACACGCTGTATTTGGGGAATCAAGCGCACACAAGGCGGTGGCTGGACCGTAGTCCGCTCCACACTGAGTGCATGGAACCGCTCTTTGAGCCTAGCACGACCACAAGAACTGTGCACCCCGTCCCCTCCAGCAACGACCAACTGTCTCCTGG